TGCGGGGTGTTGCAGCTGGACTCATCGTGCCCAGGGAGGGCGCAGCTGCCGGCGCCGCGCAGGGGAACAAAGGAGAAGGGTCCTGGTTCCAGAAAGCTCCAGAATCCATTCCTGACCCCCGGGCAGGAGGGGCAGGATGGGGATGAAGGACCAGGCAAAGGCAGGGCAGGGGGTTTTTATAGGGGATCCCTGGAGGGAGTTGGGGTTCGGGGCGAGGGAGGAGTTCTCAGCTACCCAAGGAGGGTGAGACCAAATTCCTGTCCCTTAGGAACAGGGGCGCTCCACAACTCCCCCGTTTTTAAACTGATCAATGCATGCTGAATAACTTAAAATAAGTGGATTCTGGGGAACATGACTTTGTCATGGTTTGATGCTGGCATAATGCCAGTGCCCCCATGAAAATATATTCTCCCCAGTGTCTGCTGTGAGATGGGACCAGAAATACAGCAAAGAGGCTCCAGCTTAGAAATGAATTAAAAAAAAACTTTATTAACCTACAACTGTATGTAAAAAGGAACACACACATAACTCAGAATGAAAATCTTCCAAAACATTCCTCCTCCTCCTACCAATTTCCACCACAGCTGGGTGTGACTGGGAGGGATCGCAGGGAGCCCCGAGGGGCTGGAAGGAGATCGGCGATGGCAAAGCGGGGCTCGCCATGAGCTCGGTTGTGCTGGGCACAGCCTGGGAGGGCTCTGGCTGAGTCCTGCCGGGGCTGCCAAGGGACTGCGAGAGGCTTTGGGGGTCCTGGGGCGCTGGGGGCAACTGGGAGGGGGCTGTGGGATGATGAGGGGGACAGGAGGGGCTTTGGTGGCTCCTGGGCAGGACAAAAAGGGATCGGGGGAGGTTTCAGGGGGTCCTGGCTGCGCTGGGGGCCACAGGGAGGGCGCTGGGAGGGGCTCGGGGTGTCGGTGAGAGGTTTTGGGGGTGCTGAGCCCTGCGGACCCCCCAGTGATGCCGCCGGACGCCGCCCGCAGCAAGATGCTGACGGGCATCGGGGGCTTCGTCTTGGGCTTGGTCTTCCTGGCGCTGGGGCTCGGCTTCTCCCTGCGCAAGAAGGTCAGGGCGGGTGCCGGGGGTGGCGTCCCCGCCGTGGCGGAGCGTGTGCGCTCCCGCCGGGGCCCCCAGCCCGGTGTCACCCCCTTTTCTCTGCCCACAGAGCTCCTGAGCCGGCGGCGGCCGCAGCCCCTCCCCGTGGGCTCGGGCCCGGCCAGGACCCCCCGCTCCGTCCCCGCTCCGCTGATTTTGGGGGGGGGAGGGGGGTTTGTGTCTCCCCCAGCCCTGCTGTCACTCTCAAGCGAACTTGCTAATGCTTGATATGAAGTTCAGAGTTATATACTAGCACAGTACAGAATATGGAAAATATGAAAGCTACGACGTAAGGCATCATTCTCATGGTCTTGATCACCACATGGCCATGGTTGCATTGTGGTCATGTCTTGGTCACAATTATCTCATGCTCGTGGTCATCTCATGGTCACAGTCCTGGCATGGTCACATTCATGGTCATCTGACTGTAATGGTTATCTTATGATCATGGTTGTGTCATGGTCACGGTCATCTCATGATTGTCTCATGCTCAGTTCATGGCCAAATCATTTCATGGCCATCTCATGGCTGTGGTTGTTTCATGGTCATGGCCAAGTCATGGTCACAGCCATTTCCTGACCATCATTTTTTGATGGTCATGGTCATCTCATGGTCATATCACAGTCACCTCATGATCACACATGGCCTCAGTGTGTTGTTGTCATCTCTCGCTCACAATCATCTCATGCTCGTGGTCATTTCACAGTCATGGTTATATCGTTGTAACGAGCATCCTGTGGTCCTGGTCATTTCATGATCATGGTCATCTCATAGTCAGGGTCATCTCATAGCCATATCATGATCATTTCCTGATCACCATCATTTCATGGTCATGATCATATGGTCATGTTCACGGTCATGGTCATAGTTCTGTCAAGTTCATACAATGGTCATGGTCATCATATGGTCACGGTCATCTCAAGGTCATTGTTGTGTCATGGTCATTGCATGGTCATGGTCATTTCATGATCATCTTGTGGCCATCTCATGGTCACTATCATGTCATGGTCTTGATCCTGTCATGGTTGTGGTTATCTCACAGTCATGGTCATCACATGGTCATGGTCATCTCAGAATCACCTCATGGTCACAATGGTCTTGTGGCCATGGTTGTGTTGTGGTCATCTCATGGTCATCTCTTGGTCACAATCATCTCATGCTCATGGTTGTCTCATTTTTATGGTCATCTCATGGTCATTATCATATCATGGCCATGGTCATCTCTTGCTCATCTCATGTTCTTTATGACCCCATGGCCATGGTTAAGTCACGGTCACCTCATGACTTGCTCACCTTATGGCTGTGTCATGGTCATGAAATGCTCAGAGTCATGAAATGGTCATGGTCATCTCGTGGTTAACTCATGGCCACAGTCATGTTATGGTCAGCTCATGGCCACAGTCACGTCATGGTCATGGTCATAGTCATGTCATGGTCATGGGCATTTCCTAAGCACCATCATCTCATGTTCATGGTCACCTCCTGATCACAATCATCTCATGCTCACGGTCCTCTCATGGTCATGATCTCATGCTCATGGATTTGTTATGGTCATCTGATGGTCATGATGATGGTCATCTCAAGATCGTCTCATGATCAACTCATGTCCACAATCATCATGGCCATCTCATGGTCATGCGTAGCAATGGGGAACAAAGACACATGGACCTCCTTGCTTGCTCCAAAGAAGATCATTTATTGTAACCAACCAAGTCTTTTTATACTTGAAAACTTAACCCAAACTTAACCAAACTTAACCGAAATAAGCACACATTGGCTGCCTGCCACTGCAGTGTTGCTGTTGATGCATCCCTTTACCCAATCAGCTCTCTGATCATGTGGTGTCTACATGTCCCCCCAGCCAATCCCTGCCTCACACACAAGGTGACCACCAACCCATTCTCTGGCTATCTGACCCGCAGCTGAACCTTCCCAGAATGCCTTTAGGTGAACAGAAGTGAACAGGATTGAACAAAGGTGGAAAAGGTCCTTATTCTGTGAGGCTTTTCCTATTTCCCACAGTTATGGTCATCACCATCATCTTATGGTCATGGTCATCTCATGGTCATCTCACAGTCACCTCATGGTCACAGTTGTCTCACAGCCATGGTTGCGTCATGATCGTTTCATGGTCATGATCACCACATAGCCATGGTGTGAGACGATTGTGGCCATCTCATGGTCACCTCTTGGTCCAATCGTGTCATGGTCACCTCAAGGCCTTCATAATTTTATGGCCATGGTGGTGTCATGGTCATCTTATGGTCATCCCATTGTCATGATCATCTTATGGTCATCTCATGGTCATGGCCATCTCATAGTGATGGTCATGGTCATTTCCTGATCACCATCATCTCATGCTCAGGATCATGTCACTGTAATGGTCATCTCATAATCATGTCATTGTCACTTCATGGTCATCTCATGGCCACGATCACATCAGGGTCACCTCAAGGCCACAGCTGTGCCATGGCCAACCCACAGTCATCTCTTGGTCCAAATCATCTCATGATCAGGGTTGTGGTTGTGTCATGGTCATGGTCATCTCAGGGTTGTGTCACTCATGGTCATTCTCACAGCCATCTCATGCTCGTGTCATGGCCATGGTCATGGCCAGGGAACCTCTCTGAGATCCTGAGCCCTGATTTTGGGACACTCAAGGACCTCTGGGGACAACAAGGACTGGCCTGACCCCTCCCCCCATCCCACTGCCCCTCCAGGAACCTGATGCAGCCAAACCCTCCTGGGGACACCTCAGACATGGGACATAGCAGGAAATGAATCCCAGGGGATGGAGCCGGGTGTGGCTGGCAAGTCCCCATCCTGCTCCTGGTGTCCCAGTCCAGCTCCTGATGTCCCCATCCCAGCTCCTGGTGGTCCCATGCTGCTCCTGGCTTCCCCTATCCCAGCTCCTGGTGTCCTCATTCCTGCTCCCAGTGTCTCCATCTCTGTCCCAGTGACCCCATTCCCATTCCTGGCTCCCAGAGATGAACTGCCAGACACTGGAGGAGGGAACCCGGATTTATCGCCCCAAGCAGGATTTATTGCCCAAAGCAGGATCATTTCACACCAGAAGTGAAGAATTATGAATATTTGTGGTTCTTGCCTTTAAAACATTGGAAAATGGGAAACTGATCTGTCAGCAAAAGCTATGGGGTGAGTGGGAGCAGTGGGATGAGCTCTGCTGGCAGATCTCACCTTTCCCAGGAAGAGGGAAGGGGCCAGATCCAGCTCCGTGGATCGCTCAGGCAGTGATTCCTGCCATGATGAGAGAGGGTCACGGTGTAACCCTGTCCCTGTCCCCATTCCACAGGATGGACCTGGCTGGAGCCCATGGAGAACAGGAGCTGCTCCAGAATCCCACATGATCCCACCCCAATCCTGCTGCAATCCTGCTCCATCCATCCCACCCGATCCCACTCCATCCATTCTGCCCCTGCCCTGCTCCATCCATCCACCCCCATTCCGCCCCATCCATCCTGCCCCAATCCTTCTCTGGAACCCCAACCTGATCCTGCTCCATTCCATCCCACCTGATTCTTGTCTGGAATCCAGCCCTGATCCCACTCCATCCCTCTCACACCAATCCTGCTCCATCCATCCCTCATGATCCCACTCCAGAATCCAGCCCCAGTCCCACTCTACAATTCCACCTGATCCCACTTTGGATCTTGCTCTGATCCAGAATCCCTCCCTGATCCCAGTCCATCCATCCTGCCCCGATCCCTCTCTGGAATCCTACCCTGATCCTGCTCCATACCTGTTGTCTAGATGCTGGTTCCCATGTCCCTTCCTGCAGAAAGAGAAGATCCGTGAGATTCCAGCACGGATCACACACCAGGATTAACCCCAGGATCCATCCTGGGATCCGCACAGAGGGGATCCAGAGCTGGATCCGCCATTGAAACTCACCGGCTGCCGGTATCCATTCCTGTCCCTCCTCCCTGTGGAAACAAAGTGGGATCAGCGTTGGTGGCACAGGATTCCCAGAACAGTGCTGGGTGGATCCATGTCCCTTCCCGACCCCCATCCTGTGTGTTACCGGATTGGAGCTTCCAGACACCGAATCCGATGAGGACAATGAGGATGAGGATGGCAGTGATGATGGATACAGCGACCACCATGGTGAGATTCCCGCCAGATGTCGGCTCTGGGAAACGCGGGATAGTGAGGAAGGGGATGGGGATCCCCATTTGGGAATTCCAAATTCCCAATCCCCACATTCCCAGCCTCACCCCAAGTGAAGATCCCGGGCTCCGGCATTCCGGGATGCTCCACCCTGCACCGGTACTGCTCCCGCTCCTCCGGCAGCGCCTCGATCCTGGCCCAGGTGTGGAAGGTGCCGTCGCTGTTGGGAACGACCCCGCCCCACTCCGTCTCCTGATCCAAGGTTTCACCCCCCTTCATCCAGCTGACTGCGATGGTGTTGGGGTAGAATCCGTACGCGTGGCAGGACAGGATCAGCGTCCCGTGTTCCTCTCTTCCGGACACGTGGATATCAGGGGACTCTGGAATGGGATAACGGTGAGGGACATCCATGGAATTCCCATTGGAATGGGACTGGGGTGAGCTCTACCCATGGAATTCCTACTGGAATGAGATGGAGATGCGATCTGCCCTTGAAATTCCATGGGAATGGGATGGAGAGGAGATCTACCCTTGGAATTCCCACAGGAATTCCCATGTTCCCAAGTTCTATATTCTCAAATCCCTCAGAGGAATTCCGCTCCCACCTTTGCGCTCCAGCTCCTTCTGCCCGTATCCAACATATTTCCGGAGCGATTCCGGGCATTCGTGCTTCAGGTAATTCAGGTGCCTCTCAGCCTCGGTCCCTTCCTGTTCCCAGCGCCTCCTGGTGATCTCAGCAGCGCTGTCAGCCGGCACGAATCTCCCGGATCCCAGGTCAAAGGAGATGAAATCCCGCCCATTGTAGCCAATCTGGTGCGACCCACGGATGGTCCCATCAGACAGGAGGTCACAGCCAGAAAGCCACTGTATGGTGTGGAGACCTGGGGGAATTGTACCCACAGAGACCCATGGAATTGTGTCCCAGCCCCACAGAGCCCCATTCCAGCCCTATGGAGCCCCAGAGTCTGATGGAAACCCACAGAGCCTCATTCCAGTCCCTTGGAGCCCCATGGATCCACATCCTAACCCCATGGATCCCAACCCAGCCCCACAGATCCCATCCCAGCTCCATGGATTGATTCCCAACCCATGGATCATGAGATATTCTATCCCAGTCTAATGAACTCTCATTTCACCCCCTTGGAGCCATGTAAGTCCCCACCTGAAACCTATAGATCCCATTCCAGCCCCATGGATCCCCATCCCAACCCTATGGATCCCAACCCAGCCTCACAGATCCCATTCCAGTCCCATTGATCCCATCCCAGCTCCACAGATCCATATCCCAGCCCATGGATCACAAAATATCCCATCCCAACCTAATGGATCCCCATTTTCAGCCCCTTGGAGCCCTGTGAATCCACATCTGAGATCTATAGATCCCATTCCAGCCCCATGGATCCCAACCTGTCCCCACAGATCCCATCTCAGCCCCATGGATCACAAGCTATCCCATCCCAGCCCCACAGATCCCATCCCAGCCCCATGGATCCCCATCTCAGCCCCACAGGTCCCCCCACTCACCCCCACTCTGGTTATATCGCTCCCGCAGTATCTCCAGGCCCCTGGCAGCCACGTGCTGGTTCCCCACACCGATCTGGGTCCCCCTCTCCCAATATTCTGGCTCGGCTCCATTCTTTATCCACTCCGTCAGCGGCTCCACCCGGCCCCGCCTGCTGTCGTAGCGCTCAAAGGGGATCCCATCCACGAACCCCATCTGCATGTACTGGGGGATCCCCGGGCTGGGCTCTGACACCCCCACATCCAGGAAACGCAGGGAGTGGAGAACTGGGGGGACACGGAGATTTGGGGGGGTTGAGGGGATCATGGATCAATGAAAGGGGAACTGGGAGAGCTGGGAAGGGGTTTGGGGATCCTGGGGCCAAGGAAAGGGTGTGCAGGGTGAGAGAGGTGGGATGGACAGGAAAGGGCCTGCAGGGGGTCCTGGTGTCCAGGAATGGGGGCTCGGGGGGTCCCAGGGTTATGGGAGGGGAGGGGGGGGTGCAGGGACTGGGAGAGTGGGATGGGGGTTCCAGGGGATCCCTGTGCCAAGGAAAGGGGGTCCAGGGATCCCCAGTACCAAGGAATGAGGGGTCAGAAGGTGGAGAGAGCTGGGAATGGAAGGCTCAGGGGTCCTTGATGCAGAGGAAAGGGGAGTTGGGAGCTGAGAAAAGCAGGAATGGGTGTCCAGGGGGTCTCAGGGTCAAGGAAAAGGGGGGACTGGGGAAGGCGGGATGGATGAGAAAGGGGGTGCAGAGGGGGATTGGTACTGGATAAGGGAGTGCAGGGGGGTCCCAGTGCCCAGAAGTGAAAATTCAGGACCCCAAGGAACCCCCCGCCAGCAGGACACACGGGTGAAGAAATGGGGGGACGCAGAGATTGGGGGGTCTGAGAGCATCCAAGGGTCGGGAAGCAGAACCGGGAGAGCCGGGAAGGGTCCAAGGTCCAATGAAGGGACTGGGAGAGGCGGGATGGGGGATCCAGGGGTCCCCGGTGCCCACCAAAGGGGGTCCAGGGGTCCCCGGTGTTGAGGGCAGTGGGGTCTGGGAGCTGGGAAAGGCAGGAATGGGGGTTCAGGGGGTCCCTGGGTCATGGAAAGGGGGATCTGAGGCTGGGAGAGGCGGGCGGATCCCGGGGACGCAGCTCGGGAGACAGAAAAATGAGACGGGGAAAAGGGGAATTCCAGGGAATTCATCTGGATCCCACTGGATCCTCGCTGAGACCCCCTGGGACCCCTAGGACCCTCTGGGACCCCTGGAACCCCTTCCAGGAAGCGCCGGGAATAGAGAACTGGGAGGACGCAGAGATTTGGGAGATCTGGGGGTGCAAAAGCCGAAGAAAAAGGCGGGTCTGGGGTCTGGGAAGGCCGGGATGGCCGGGAATGGGGGTGCAGGGGGTCCCGGAGCACTGATGGGGGTGCGGGGAGATCCCAGTCCCGGATCAGGGGTGCAGGGGGGTCCTTGCACCTGGACATGGAGATTCAGGGATGTCTCAGTGCCCAGGAATGGGGGTTCAGGGGGGTTCCCCCGTCGTTATTCGGGGTTCAAAGGGATCCTGATCCAAAGGAATGGGAGATGCGGTGGGTCCCGGGGCCACATAAAGGGGTGCAGGGGGATTTCCCTGCCCAGGAATGGAAGTTCAGGTGATTCTTTTCCCAGAATTCGGGGTTCAGGTGGGTCTCAGAAAAAGGAGTTTCACGGGGTTCCGGTGCTGGGGAAGGGGGCACAGAGGGGTCCCCGTGCCCAGAAATGGGCGCTCAAGGGGTGCCCGTGCTCAGGAATGGGGGCTCAGTAGATTCTGATGCCCGAGAATAGGGGTTCAGGAGGGTTTCCCTGCCCAGGAATGGGGTTCAGGGCAGTCCCGGTGCCAGATGAGGGGGTACAGGGGGGTCCCGGTTTGGGGGAGGGGATAGAGGACCCAAAATGGGGCTATGGGGGGTTCCCGCGCCCGGTAATAGAAGTTAAGGAGGGTCCCGGTGCCCGGAAATGGAAGTTCAGGGGGTTCCCGGTTTCGGGGTTCCCACTCACCTTTGGTCGCGACCCCCGGGTCCCCCAGGAGCCCCCAGAGCAGCCCCAGACCCAGCGCTGGAGCCATGGCGCTGCTCGGCTGCGGCCCCGCCCCAGCCATGGCCAGGCTCCCTGAGCCGCATCCGGCCCTGCCATTAGTCCCGCTTTTTACTGCCCGCCAATGGCAGCCCGATCTGTCAGTGACGTCACCGGTCACCGGGCAGATCCCGGTCTCGCAGGTTGGGACGCGGAAGCGAAAGGGACCGAGGAGGGCGGGGCGGGGACGGGGGAATTGCAGAGAATCCCTCTGGATCCCTCTGGATCCCGCTGCGACCGCCCTGGAGCCCTCTGAGAACCACCTGGGAACCCCTGGGACCCCCTTAAGGAAGCGCCTAGAGGGGAGAACTGGGGGGATCCGGAAATTTGGGACATCTGGGGGTGCAAAGGTGAAGGAAAAGGGCGGGTCTGGGGTCTGGGAAGGGCGGGAGGCCCGGGGAGGGGTGCGGGGGGTCCCAGAACACGTGAAGGGGATCCAGGAGGGGTCCCAGTCCCGGATAAGGGGGTGCAGGGGCGTCCCCCTGCCCAGGAACGGAGGTTCGGGGGGTCCTTGTGCCCAGGAATGGGGGGTGAGGGCAATGGGGGTTCCAGGGGGTCCCTATGCCCAGGAAAGGGGGTGCACGGGCCCCCGGTGTTGAGGAAGGTGATGGGTGGGGGCTGGGGAAGGCAGGAGGGGGGGTCCAGGAAAAGGGGGTGCGGGGGGGCATTGGGGCTGGATAAGGGGGTGCAGGGGGATCCCCGGGCTGGATGAGGGGAAGCAGGGGGATCCCGGTGATGGATAAGGGGGTGCAGGGGGGCCCTGTGCTGGATAAGTGTTTCATTCTTGTTGTTATTAATATTTCTCAAGTCCCATACTGTAGCAAGCTGTTTTTTCTGCAGCACAGTTCTTCATGTGTCTTCTCAGGGGCTCCTCCTGGGCTCTCGACCCACCCCTTTTATCCCAGCTATCTTTACGAGCCACAGCTGCTGCCCAACCAAGGACTTCGCAGCTGTGACTCATTTAGAATAGCTAGGACCCACTTATCTAATACATAGGACTCTCACTACATTTCAGTTGTTGTATTCTTATTGCTGTTATAACAATATATATATTCAGGCCCCCACAGATAAGGGGGTGCAGGGGGGTCCCTGTGCCTGAGAATGGAGGCTTTGGGAGGGTTCCAGTCCCGGATGTGGGGGTGAACAGGGGTCCTGGTGTTGAATAAGGGCATGCAATGGGGTCCTGGTACCCTGGAATGGGAGTTCAGGGGGAGTCCCTTCCTGGGAATCAGGGTTTGGGGGGGTCCCGGTGCTAGATAAGGGCCTGGCTGGGATCCAGTGCAGGGGGTCCTCGTTCACAGGAATGGGGGACTCAGGGGGGTCCTGATCCTGTTCAGGGTGTGAAAAACAAAATTAAAAGTTTAATAATAAGAGTAATAGTAATAGTAATAGTAATAGTAGTAATAATAATAATAAGAAGAATAATAACAATAACAATAATAATAATAGTACAGAAAAGGACGATATTCCCCCCCCCTCCCATGCGCTGGAGTGCTCTTGGCCAACAGCCAAAGAACACAGGGGTGTACACAGACAATGTTATCTTTATACTGTTACATTGCTGAGATATATGCACATTCATGTGTTTCATGCATTATTCAAAAATTCTTGTGAACTTTCTGATGTTTTGGGAAGTTCTTTCTTTGACTTCTTCACACTCCAGCTTATCTACACAACATCCTGTGTGTCAGGTCAATATATTTTATTTCTTTTTGTGTCTCCATCCTGCTGTTTCACATCCTCTGATAAGGATTCAGTATGGCCTCCCTAATTTTAACATGGTATTGTCTAATTGTCCTCTGGTGCTCTGCTTTGTGTCACGGTTATCTTATTACTTGGACAGGCTGGTCAGTGGATGGCCTTACACTGTTTTTAGTTACACAAAAGCCTTTTTCACATCTTATGTTTTGCTAAGTCCTATTGAATCATGATTTTAAAGGGTTAGGATTTTAGCTGAGTGTTAGAACCAATTAATATTGAAGTTAGATACACCAATGTTAGGTTAATGATTATTGGATGCTTAAGCTAAAGCTAAATGATATATTATGAGCTCATTTGTAGAAAGAAGTGGAGCAAGTGAACCATTATAGGAACATATTGAAACCAGCAGAACAATGCCCAGCACCTGGACTCTGTGTCAATCCATCATGAAGCAGGGGGCCTTGGATTGTGCCAGAGGGTCACAGAGACCTGACCAAGACCTTCCTGACTTCATCCCTGGGACCACTGGCCCAATTTGAGACCACTGACCCAATTCAAGAGAAGAATTGCGCACGCGTGGACTACTAACCTCATTTTAATACAACGCAGGGATGGGAGGTGCTGGGGTTATGTATATGTATTATTTTGGCAAATAAATAGAAGGCAAAAATCCTTGTGTGGTGCGGTCATGCATTTTGAGAATGATTCCCCCGTGCTGCCCACCGGTATAATAAACATACAACTTTCTAACTTTTGACTAGTTAGAGAGACTTTGTCCATGATCTTCAGTTTTAATGATTCAGTTAGCAAGCCAGCCAGGAGGAGGCTCTGCTGGGCTGTGAGACCAGCTCAGGTCATGGACTCCCTTGGTGCACCCTGTGGAGAAATGGCTACATGACAGAGGTCACGTAGACATTCGCTTGTTAGCCGACCAGGAGCTGGGAAAGTACCGAACACAGCTAGTTGGAGTTTTTGCACCTGCAAGATAGCGTGTCCTTGGGCCTAGCTGGGTATGATAACAAGTGGACAGAGAGACGTGGGAAATAGAGAATGTAGGCCCAAAGGAATGAGGAAGAGTTGATGGTATAGTTTAACCAATAGTTCGCTTGGCTTACAGAATATTCATAAGCTTATTACTTGCTGTATAAGTGTCTGATGCTCTCTTCAATAAACGGAACTTGCTGTTGACTCATATTGAGCCCCGAGTTTTCCCTGCACCTGACAAATGGCTCATCCCCGACAAAGGCCGCATTCTGCAACAGCACCCCCAGGATATTCCTGGAAGAGTGGGCTCTGCTGCACAGACTGTTCATCCAGCAGCAGACAAGGAGCCCTGAGTACTAAAACTCCAGACAAAACAGTATGTTTAAAAATAAAACAGTTTTAAACAGTGACCGGTAAGGCGTGGTCAGGAGAGGCCCTTTGGTAAGTCGTGGGAGATGTCCCACGTGCAATTTGTGCCTCTGTAGTGTGCTTGCAAGCTGAAGTTGCAGTTGAAATCTGGTTGCCAGCAGAAAGAGTTGTTGAACTGTTGTACTGAGCTCGGGCTTTTGGTGCTGCCATTTGTTTCAGCA